AAGGTGTCAAATATCCATCTGCCCATCCTGTTTATTATGGTCTGTTGGTTTTACTTTTATGACTGGATAAGAGGATATTTTATGATATCTTCTTTCCCTGTTTCTTCAGGGTAGGGAGATATATTCTCTAAGGCCCCTATGATTGCTATTCTTGGGCTCAGCATTTCAATTTTAACTTAACTGATAGAAACCCCACATTAAATCAAACCCTGTTATCAATCATTGCTTATTTCAGAGGCCTCAGTTCTATTTTTCTCTCTGTAATTGTGGGTGATTGGAATGAGTTTTTTTTATGACAAAGAATATCGTGGAAGAATTGGTTATGACTTTAAACCATATGAAACTAATACAGAAGAGCACAATATTAAAATGAACAAATTATTGTAATGTGTTGTAAGGTACCACTGAGTTACTCATATACACTTATTCAATATAATCTTGATTAATAAAATTCTACAGGATTATACAGATACAAACTTAAATACACATTGTTACAAAGTTATCTCTAATGCATAGATTACGATTAGTTAAATCCAATTGTTTCTCTTCTGAGACACTAAATTGAAACAAAGCCTGCGGAGAACAGTTGTTATATTTCTTTCCCCCAGTAACTGCCTCCTAACCTTTGTTGTTTGAGAGGATTTAACAAGCTGGGAGAACGTTAACTTGTATTGTTCAACTTTGAAGGTTACAAGCCCTCTCAATCTGGCTCTGTGAAATAGAAATGAACTAAAAGAGGCTCTGGAATTTGTCCTCCAAGTGTGTTACCTTGATTCTGTTCAAATCCCATAATGTATTTCTTTAGTCATGGGAGGCTATGCAAAGCCCCGTGATATTAATGTACTAAAATCTACATGGATTAATATTATTTGATTAACTATAACTAATGTATCTGATTTATAATTAAACTAATTTAATCATGATTTTCTGTCTAGTTCTATACTATGACCATAATTGATATAATTTGCCTTGTTTGATTCTTAGATAAACCTAAGTAGTGAGTCTATATAATAAATTAGGAAAAGTTGGAAATATTCAGGTTTGGCAGCATCTGTGAAGAGACAAACCTTTTATCAGAAACATCAAAAGTTGGATTTGTTATTGTTTTGATGTAGGTCAAATATTTGATAGTGAAAAAGAAGAAAAGGGAAGGTCTGCAATGTGGCAGAGGACAGATGTTAAACATCAAAAGAGTTGATGGAACAAGTCAAACTAAAATAAAAGTCATGACCTGAAATAATAACTGTGTTTTCCTTGGCAGAGATGAATATCCTGAATATTTTCATTATTTTCTGTTTTTACTCCAGACTTCCAGTGTTTATTTTATTGAGTCTTTGTAGATAGTTTAAACTGTGGAGCTGCGATAGTTAGTTCTGATGCTGTGCTCGGTGAACATTCTGGTAGATGTGGCATTGATCAAAAGCAGCAACTTATACTCCAGTCCCCCGGAGCTTAAGAACTTGAAAGCCAGTTGTCATAGTCCTCAGCGCAATCTTAATGAGAGCTGTTATTTGGAAATAATTCAAAGTACTACCTGAGCTGTATCTATAAAATGGGGAAATAAATCTATGTTAAAGATGTGAAGTAGAATGGTGATCTTATTAATTGAAAAGACACTTTCTTTTGCTATGTGGTTTCTAAACAGGATTTCATTCTCATTAGCTAGGTTGAAAATTTACAGCCAGAGATTGCAGAATTAGCCAAGCGACTGCGTTATGAAGTATCTGTGCGTGCAAAGCAAGTTGGATGGTCTGAAAAGGTGGCTCGGTATGTGTATTTATTTTCTTTCAAAAGCATGACAAGTTCCGTAGCTCAGAACAAGCTCCGTGTCAAAGAAAGAGTGAGTGATCAGCTTGATGATCATTATTGTTGTGTGCAACCAAAGTGGGAGGACAAGGCATTTAAACACAGAATATGGGAGAAACTCAGCATATCAGGCAGAATCTGTGGAAAGAAATAAATTTAATGTCTTGAGTCTGGTGGCCACTCGGGACTCAAATGCATCTCATCAGTTCATAGGGTTGACATAAAAACATATGGGATGTTATACATTTTTGGTTAAGAGGAACAAATGAGAATAGTGTAGACGAAGGGGCTCTGGGTTGTAATGTGCCCAAATGACCTGTAGAATTGCTTTTTTGTTTAATGTCATAGTGATCTTATGTGAGGGAAAACCTGGATTAAACATTTTCAGAGATAAATACTTTGTGCAAATGCTGAAAGCCTGTCTGGATTAGCACAGCTTGAAAAGGTTGCACATTCTGTTATGATGTAAAATACAAAAGTCAGTATTACAGCCTTAACATGGGGCTGCAGTTAATCTGAAATTCTGATTCACTATCATAGCATCTCTCGTTGGAAAGAACTTTCAAAGGCAAATCTGTCATGACTCAATTGGAAACAGTGCACCAGTGACTGAGCCCCACTATTCCACAAGCCGTGACAAATGTGTGATTAATCCAATTAAACCACCAAGATGATCAATTTGCCTGATGGACTGATATTCAGGACAGAAGTCTTTCACACCCAGTTTCATCATTAACAGGAAAATAACTCAATTAATTGTAAACATTTTGTTTAACAAGTGAAAGAGAAAAGGCTTATGAAAGTACTACTAAACAACTTAAGCTTATACCCTTTTTAAACCAAACTCGCACTCGCACACTCTCTCATTTACAAATAAGGCAGATGGACACTGATGGTTTAACACAAATATGACTGGGAAAACGATTTCTGTAGATTAAAATCCAGCACAAGGACAGATAGTTATTTCTCAGTTCTTTTGATCTTCGGTTGTTCTTGGGGAGGAATTGAGTATTGCAAGGGCAGTCTCTTGGAGTTGGACACTGGAGATGCACTAGAAGAGGATGGTGTGGTCAACGATGTAATGGTATTGCAGCATGACCGCAATAACACTGGCAGTTAATCTAATAGGTTTGATTTAAAGAATAAGTAAAGTTTATCAACAGAAATGCTAAAAATCACTGAATAAATAGTCTAGTTCACACGTTGTAAGAAGAACTGGTTTGCATGCTTGGCATCATGAGTTTAACTTCCTCTAACCCAACGACTCAGAGTCATAGAATCCCTACAGTGTGGAAACAGGCCCTTCGGCCCAACAAATCCATACCGACCATCAGAGCATCCCCCTATAATCCACCTAATATACACATTCCTGAACACTACGGGCAATTTAGCCTGGCCAATCAACCTCGCCTGCACGTCTTTGGAGTGTGGGAGGAGACTGGAGCACCCAGAGTAAACCCTCACAGACATGGGAAGAATGTGCAAACTCCACACAGACAGTCGCCCGAGGTAGAATCGAACCTGGGTCTCTGGTGCTGTGAGGCAGCAGTGCTAACCACTGAGCCACCGTGCCACCCTAAAATTTACATGACTGATGTATGCTGGTAAAGTGTGACTCTTTAATTATTTAAAATAAAATTTAGATCTAATTTTCATGGAATTGTGATTGTAAAATAAACTGTAAATAATAAGTCACCTGTGCTACATTTGAGATAAAACCGGCAAACGCACAAATTTAAGTAGACATTTATTCATTTGTAACGGCTTCCTCTGTTGTTTTGTCTCCTGGACTCAGTTTTCACTTCAGGAAGAATCTTCACAGGATCATCTCTGAGCTGTATGTACGTGACAACTGTCATCCTTTCAAAGCTAGTCTACTGATCTGGATCCAGTTGCCGCTGTGGATTCTCATATCTGTCGCCTTGCGGAATTTGAGCCTCGGAGCTTCTGATACTGCAGCAGGTATTTGACATTTACACCTGTGCTTTGGTTTATTCAGTTTATTCAATCCAGTTCCCAGCTGCCTCTGAAATGTACAGGAGAATGTCATTGGGTGAAGGATGCTTCAGCTCTTTAAAATTAAATAGAAACGATAAAAGTAGAATCTCATAGACACTTAAGAAGATAGCACACAGCTAAAGTCTGAAATTGTTGCCTTAAGGTTGATCATTATTTCTAATTTTCACAGGTATAAGCTCGGTTTTCTCTTGGCTCCCATCTTACTGCTTATGTCCACCAATTGACCTTGAATCATCTCAATATTTGATTAAACCATACTGTGATCTGGAGTCCAATAACAGCTATTCTTGTTTATATTGACCATTGAAATCTTGCATGCGGTGTGACTTGCTCTTCTGTCTTTACGGGAAGATGAACTAAAAGTGATTTATGAAGATGAAACATAATTGTGAACAAACACCCTTTTTGTTGTATCTGAATTTATTCATATTAAGAATATTTTTATGAGGAGGTAACTACTTGTGAACAGAAACAGTTAATCAGTCAGTGCATTTTTGAGTTTTCAAAGTGGCGTTGCCTGAAAGATAACTACTCGTGAGGTTGGTGGAACTATATTAGCATGGATTGTGCATTATTTAAAGGACAGAAAAGAGAAAGTAAAAATAAACAAATAATTTTCAGGTTGAATAGATAGCACTGCTGCTGGTGAAATGCCACCAAGATCTGGGGCCTCCGGTTTTCCCAACATATATTAACAGTTAAGACGAGGAGAGTCAGTTTAATGTAACCAAGTATCCCGGTGATACAAAAGAAGGTGGGAGTATAAACTGTGAAGAGGCAAAACTCTGCCAAGGGATTATAAATAAGTGGGCAAAGAGGTGGCAACTTGATTATAATGTGGGGAAAGGTGTGGAAGAATTGAAACAGAAAGCAATATCTTTAAATGGTGATAAATTATTAAATAAAAATGAAATGCTGTAATAATTGGGACAGGCAGCATTTGTACAGAGAGAAAGAGTAGACATTTTAAGTTGAATATGACTCTTAAATTATTAAATGTTCTTTTTCACAAAACCTGTTCAGTTAATACGCAGCTGCAATGCAGATTAGCAGTGTAAATTATATTTTGCCTCTTATTATAGAGTCATAGGGTCGTACAGCACGAAAATACACCCTTCAGTCCAATTCATCTGTGCCAACCTGACGTCCCAATCTGATTAGTCCCATTTGCCAGCATTTGACCCATATCCTTCTAAATCCTTCCTATTCATATACCCATCAGATGCATTTTATATGTTGTAATTATACCAGCCTCCATGACTTCCTTTGGCAGCTTGTTCCATATATGCACTGCCCTCTGCGTGAAAAAGTTACCCATCAGGTTCTTTCTAAATCTTTTCCCTCTAACCTTAAACCTATGCCCTTTAGTTTTGGACTCCCCCACTCTAGGAAAAAGACCTTAGCTTTTCAGCCTGTCCATACCCTCATTACTTTATAAACCTCTATAAGGTCACCCCCCAGCCTCCGACACTCTGCTGGAAAAACTGCAGCCTATTCAGCCTCTCGCTATAACACAAACCCTCTGGTCCCGGCAACATCCTTGTAAATGTTTTCTGTGCCCTTTCAAGTTTGACAACATCCTTCCTATAGAAGGGCAACCAGAATTGCATGCAGTATTCGAAAAGTGGCCTCACCAATGTCCTGTGCAGCTGCAACATGACATCTCAACTCTTATACTCAGTGTTCTGACTAATGAAGGCAAGTGTGCCAAAAACCTTCACCCTGTCTACCTGCAACTCCACTTTTATTGTAAGATGATTTGATAATGCATATGGAGGACTTGCTGCAGGAGAAAAGGGTGCATTGGGAGGGAGGGGAAAGATGCTCGAAGGAACAGTAGTGTAGACGGCCCAAGAGGAATGGTGGAACCTGGAGGAAAGCGTGGAAGAGAGGCAGTGCAAAGGGGAAGGTGGAAAGGAGGAAGCATAGAATGCAGAGACGAGAATGTGGAAGGGAATGTCTCAGGGTCATAAGGAAAGTTTGGGGAGGTTGGAGGACTGGAAGGGGAATGTGGGGATTGGGGGGCCTAGCGCAAGAGAGGCAGCACAGAAGGGGAGACTGAAACATAGAACAGGTGGGACGGGCAGTAGGGAAGCAGGCCAGTGAGGGCGCCAGAGAGGAAGGGGGGGATGTCAGAGAGGCAGCCTGGAGCGATGGGATTGTTTGAGAGGGTGGGGGAGTGCTGAGAGGAGCAGACTGGAGGGAAAGTGAAGTAAATAGAGCAGGCTGGGTAAAAGTGAGTTTACCTGTCTGCTTAGTTCCTCAGTATGTTATTTTTGTAATCATTTTCCTTGCTTCTTTGACCCTGTGATAACTTAGGGAGCTGATAGAGACCTGCATTAGCACAAAGATAGCAATTGGAGCATTGCTCAGGGTAGTGACTGAGGTGTTGTGACTTGGTGGGTGAGCAGTTATGATGAAAATAAATGGGTTGTCACAATAATTAATTAATTCCATTTCTGCTGTAGCCCCTGCTGTTCAGGACCTAGCAATAGGAGGAATACTCTGGTTTCCTGACCTTACTTTGCCGGATTCCACCTGGATTTTGCCCATCTCATTAGGACTTGTAAATCTTTTAATAGTTGAGGTAAGGAGATCATTTTGAAACTTTCCGGCTCTTTGTGAAAGAAAATATTTTCGGTTACTTGATTACCTATTTTAAATAACAGTAACTTTTTTTATGACCAATTTACAAAGGAGGAGTGAAGGTCAATTATTATGTGCTACAGAACAGCAGATTGTGGTTCATTAACTTGTAACCCACAGCAGTGTTATGCTTTGAACTCTCTGGAATATTGCACCATAGAATGATGGGACATGAATCCAAGTCAATGGTTCTCTTAAGATGTGTGATCTTTTATTGGTCGTGATATTTGCCAAGCGGATGTCAAGCACTTTGTCTAAGAACAAGAAACTGAAGGAGTAGTTCTGTTTTAAAAAGGCTTCTAAATAGTACTTTGGCTGGGAGCAAGAGAAAAGAGAAAGAACTGTGTGTCATCTTGACTCTCAACATCCTATAGCCAAAAGAGCTGTGAATTAAGCGCTACATGTTGTGGTAAATAGTCTTGAGGGTTGTTTTATGTAATCTGTTACTGCCACTGACATCCACTCAGTTGGCAGAGGAGCAACATTGCAAATATTCAGAGTTTTTACTTATTTTGTGCAAAAAAAATTAGTGTAATTTGAATTTTTCCTGTGTTGTGCAGTATTTGAAAGAAATAACTTCTGCAAACCGTGGCCCCTTGTCCCCAGTTGTGGAAATAATAGGGGAAGTGAGTGATGTTTTAATCTGTAAGAAGTGCAGCCTTTATAGTGATAGTGTGTCCTCACATCTACCTGCACTCCTGGATGCCAACAAACAAATGATATTCTTATTGAATAAATTAAGTTAAAGATCCTGTTTTGGCTACTTGTACAGATTGATTTATTTGAATTAAATCTCAGTATATATCTTCCAATCACGAGGTCAAAAATAATAATTCCGGAGGATTCACAGAGTAAATGGGAAACCGTTGTCCACTGACCAAAGTTTCAGTGTTGAGACGATGATTAAGATAATTGACAGATGAACTAAAGAGAACGTAAGAATTCTTCTCATACAGCAGTTTATGACTTGGAATATGTTGCTTGAAAAGGTTGACTGCATATTGTTCCTAATTATTCCCAGCTTGAATAGATATAATTAGGTAGTTTCCCTGCTGGTCGTGACTAAAGACTATGATTCGATAAGTGAGTGACCTTACATAGATAATGCATATTATGGACTCTCTGCCCCACACGGCATTTTGCTTTTGCCTTTGCTTTATAGTAGTTCTTTTATTGACTATGTTTTCATAATTGTGCTGAATCTATAGACTTCGCCACATGTCCTACCTGAGGTACACCTTCACCTAACTCCCTGACATCATGTAATTCACTAGCTGCCTGTTGACACTGTAGAAGATGGAAACAAATGCACTCATAACTTACAAAGAGAATTGAATATATACTTGAAGGAAATGTTTGCAGAGCCTATGGGGGAAGAGCAGGGGAACGGAACTAATTGGAAGCTCTTTCAAAGTGCTGGCACAAGTATTATGGGCGAAAAGGCTTCCATCAATGGAATATTGTTCTGAGCTTGTTATCTGAATGTACAGAAGTAGATCTTTAAATCCTGGATCAGATTGATTTTCTGTTGATACTGCTAATGGCAATGCCAGATTGTAGAGGGTTTCTCTAGTTTCAGAGCATTGTGGATAGAGGGTTCCAGATTCATTTTTCTGTTGACTTGTGAAATTGAATGAATTTTCAGATCATAACATAATGAATGGCCTCGGAGTTATTTCTGTTAGTTTGGCCATATATCCCTGACAATCTGCTTTATTGTTGACATGTTCTTAGTATTTTACTGTCTGTAATCAGACATTGTTTCAAAATTGGAAAGTCTAAGTGACTTGGTAACGAAATTAAATCTCACTTCTGTAACTTTAGTGATTGGTCTTATTTCGACTGTATTACCTATAAAGATGTTATTGTTACTACTACTCAAATGTAGATTTTTGCTCTCCGGAGAATTGAATTGTCGAAATTTCAGAAATACGCCACTTATATGATCCGTGGAATCTCCGTGCTAATGGTTCCGATTGCTGCAACGGTGCCCTCAGTAAGTATTTGCTGGCCCTGTGACAATGGAAGTTAGGTATTTTATCTTATGTGAACTATGTATTGCTGGAAAAAAAAGGCAAATCATTGGGGTTATTCACAAAAAAAAAGGAAAAGCATGTTTTTCTGTATGAAAGAAGGGTGCTGATGTTTTGGCAGTGGACTTATAAGTAGAGCTGAACCATTTGATCACCATGTAAGCTTGATTCTGAACCAGGCACATTAAAACTGTCCTGTGGGATAATGACTACCCTAATCAGATCATTTCTTGATGTACTTCACACAAATTCGTGAACAAACTGAAGGCCATCACTTTTGGTTTGAAAAGTATCCAGTCTATCTCAGATTAGGTTTGGAGGTTGACCATCAGTCATCATTAACTGGTGCATTCTCCATGCCAATGCCTCAACTAATCTGCGTTCACTTGTCAACCAATCAGCACTTTGCTCTCAAATAGTATGTATGTTTTTCCCTTTACTTTGGTATTTCTTGTTAATTGTTCTGATGAATGCAAGGAAAAAGCTTTGACAGACTTTTTTTTCAGTAACACTCGAGTTCTGAATAGCCAAATAACTGTTGATTCGGTCATCCTGTTCTGTTTCACTGCTGCTAGAAAGTGGTTTTATTTAAAATGATTTCTGCAGCAGCATTGCCATTTTGAAAAGCTGTTACTTGCAGTGTAATGTCTCAGTATCTGAGCCCTCGCCAACTATCAAACAAAAGGCAGGAGAAATGAACAATGTTATAGTGCAAAGACAAGGATTCAGTCCATCAATTTACGTCACTTTTTTTCTCCATGTGAACCATCTATAACCCACTCCCAATTACTTGCCATTGTCGAATATTATAATATATAATAATATTCCTCAGTATTCCTGAACATTGCAAGTATAGGACCTCAAACCCAGGTTTTCTACTTTTGAATTTTGGAAGCAAAAGGTTGTAATCATTATAATGGGAGAATAATATTTGAGGATAAGACTCTACAAATTATCTTATGAAATATTTATGGCTAAAGATTCCTCATCTCCTACATATTGTTTATACATTTTCTTACCGATATTTTACAGTGCCATATTAAAAGCATCAACTCCCTACTGAGGTAAGATTGTTTGGGCACCAAATATCCTTGTCTCAGAGGTAGTCAGTTTTCATACATGACTGTGGACAAGTTGGCTGAATATTTGCCTGTACAGATCTCTATCACAAACATTCTTAGCACGTTGATTGCCAGGAAACCCAGCTGACTTCATCCTGCCTGTTATTCTGTTCTGAAAACTATTTGGGCTGTTAGCAAACAATTATACCATTCTGGGACCCTCTAGACCTGTGCTTAACAATCTTGTTCCTAGTATGGTGCCATTTTGAAACTTGAAAATTGTTACCACCCCTGAGTGAAAATGAGAGAGCAAGGGTGTGATGGAGCAGGAGCATGTCTGTCATAACTTGGTTGGACCCCACTGTGATCCCAGATCCCAATTTAGAAACCCTGCTCTGGACTCTGGGCTTAAGAAAAATCACTTTCAGAAAATTGTTGGAACACCCCCCACCACGAAGAACTGCTGTTTATTAGTAGCCTTAATAATGCCTTTTCCGTGAAACTTCAACATTTGTGTTGTGTCATCTTGAAATGCCTCCTTCATTTGCTCAGTACCTTTTTTGTTTTTTCTTCCAGTCTATGGCTCTCTATTGGTTGACCTCTAGCTGTGTGGGCCTTGGACAAAATTTATTGCTACGTTCTCGCAGTGTTCGCACTCTCTGCCGGATTCCCAAGATGAAGTCGGACTCAGACACTCCTTTCAGAGACTTATCAGTGGGACTTGTTGCAAAATATTTTCCTAAGAAGTGATGAACTATCCTTTCGTGTGCGTAAAATTCATGCTGTAACTTGATGGGTCACCACGTGGCCTCATAGTTCACATTTCAAAATCAGAATGAATTGAATGTGCCCAACTGACAACAGTCATGTAAGTCATATTAAAAATGACATGGTCTGCTGGACATTGAGGGGCTTCAATGGTTATGCATGTTTTATTTTTATTTTCTTCCTTGCGAGATTATTGCTGATTAGAGGAGATGAGAAGGAACCAGAACTCTTCGTACTTGCACTTTGTTGCAATTCTCTACAGCAAATTGGCAAGACAGGTGTAATGTTAATGCCACTTAGGCTCTTGCTCTGGGGCAAAGAGTTCAGATCCTACGGTGGGATTTAAATTAAGTTAATCAGATTTGAAATTGAAAACTCATTTTGGTTTCAATTTTGGTTTCATGGTCATCGTTTGTTATAAAAGCCCATCTGGTTCACACATGTCCTTTAGGGCAAAATCTGCCAACCATATCTGGAGTCAAATGTGATTGCAGACTTTGAGCAACATGGTTGGCTCTGATCCTGCCCTCTGAAATGATGTGGAAGCCAGTCAGTTCAAGCATAGAGGGCTGGGTTTGTCAGCAGTATCGACATTCCATGAAAGAATAAAGAAAAAAGTTTGGGTGAAAATTTGTTTCCAGCACTGTCCATTAGTAGATTATTTCTTGAAAAAGTGAGTGAGTGCTCCTGACTTGATTTGTTTCCTAGTTTTTCTTCCTGGCAATGAGGTGGAACCTCATCGTTGCTTGCAGCCTTCTTGCAGATGATGTACTTTAATGAATTGATCCTACCCTCCTTCCTGTCTTTATTCTCATCACGCTGCTTCAGTTCATCATTGTGCTGCTGTATTGGCTTGGTTGATTTAAGTTTTTACCCTATTAGAATTGCAAATATGTTTTTGTAGTGAAATCTAAAGTAAAAGATATTTTTTAAAAATTATGAATATTTTAATATTTGAACTTTACATCATAAGTGTTCAAAATATGTAGAGAATAATCTCTTCAATTCTACGTAAAAGGTGGTGACTTGTGTGTGTTGTGCTGCTTGAGAGATCAGAAGGTTTGAAGGAGACTGCAACAATCTGCACTGTCCTCTTAACCACTGTAGGATTGATTCATATATTGTTCAGACAGAAGAGATGAAAGAGTCCTTCAGTTTTGAGATGCTTTTCAGGGTTCTTCATGCAGTGTAACTGTGAGATTTGGGCAATAGAAACCCAAATCCTCATGGAGTACTCTGCTAGAAAACTGCTAAGTTTAACATTTATGGATCTCAACTGAAATCATGGAACTCGCTTTGGGGCCTCTGTGGGGTCCAGTGTTTGGAAACATGCATCCATTTATAAGCCTGAGTAGGTGATAGCACTCACATAAACAAAATAACACAAATAACTGTGGATGCTGGAAATCTGGAACAAAAACGGAAATTACTGGAGGGATCCAGAACTGCTAAAGAAAGGTCACTGGACTTGAAACGTTCACTCCGTTTCTCTCTCTCCACAGATGCTGCCAGACCTGCTGAGTTTCTTGAGATAATACAGTGTGGAGCTGGAAGAACACAGCAGGCCAGGCAGCATCAGAGGAGCAGGAAAGTTGACATTTTGGGTCAGGACCCTTCTTCAGAAATGGCTTTGCAGTGGGGTTATAACTCACTCAGAGATAGTAATCCAGCATTGGCAGTTCTTACTTTCTCTGCTGAGTTTCTGCAGTTGTTTTGGTTTTTGCACTTGCAACAATCTGTTTAAGAATGAAATGTTTTTAAACTGAATCCAAACCTGTCATTTTCAGCTACAGTATTGAAGGCTGAGGCAATTTTAACACCTTATTTTTGATGCGGCTTTTTTCTCCACCTGATGTTGATGTTGAAACCTGAGGCTAAATACAGTTGAGTCTAACTCAACCTTTTTAAAACAGTGTGCTTCAAGGTTCCTTATGTTTAACACTCAAACAGTTAATTGTTAGATCTATACTTTATTTGTTCCTTCCTGTAGTAGATTCATTCCACAATGCAATCTTTCCCTTGTCTGCAAATATTAGACTTATGACTTGCTCGTTGGTTGAGGCTGGAGCTGACCCCAGTAAAACCAAAGAGTTTGGAAGGCAGAAATCCTGGATAAAATTAATCAATCATGTCTGTTTGAAAAGTGTCTCAGTTAAAGGGTATTGAGAAGGCTAGAACTTGGACAGTTAATCCACAGACTAGGCCCCATGCATATTACTCAATTCACTCCTTTGGTCTACTTGGATTTGGAAGTGTTGCTTACTTAACAGTATTGTCTACAAGGGTGACTAATAGTTTTTATGAGCATAAAACTGAATATTTATTAATATTATGCAGTAAGTAGCAAGATAGAAAATAGGAAATGGCTGCTTAGTTTTTGCTTTTCAGTCCTGGCCAATATACAGTATATTAAACACCCTATCTATATTGTATATTTAAGGTCAACATCACCATTCTGTGACTTGAAGTCAGGGAGAGGCAGTGTGATTGTGGTTTTGCCACTGGATTAGTAATCCAGAGTCCCAGATGCATGTTCTTGCAACGTGGATTTGAATTCCACCATGACAGTTAATGAAATTTAAGTTCAGTGAAAATCTGAAATAAATGGCCAAATGACAACAACATTGTTGTTGTAAAAACCTATTTGGTTCACAAATGGCCTTATCTTTTCTGGTCTATATGTGACTCCATACCCACAGCAATGTGGTTGACTCTTAACTTGCCTTTAAATGTCCATCTGGACACTCGGTTGAAGAACACTTCAGTATTGTCTGAACACTGGCTCAACCAGTGGTACTCACATGCCATGAATCAGTTACAAAAAAGTCATGCTTGCAGTTGTACCCTGGTTACACTAGCTGGAGCTTCTAAGCTCTGGAAGCTGCAGATAACTATAGCAATCATCAAAAAGAGTTACCTATCCCAGTGTCCTGCAGTGCATCTAGTCCTGCAGCTCACCACTCTAAGAATGTGATGACAGTTTCTGCCTCTACCACTGTCTCGGGCAGTGAATTCTAATCCATGTTGACTTTTGGGTTAAAAACAAGTTTCTTTATTGCCCCACAGATCTACCACTTTTCTTCAATCTGTGTCCCCTGCTGTTTGACCCCTTTGCTAAGGTAAATATATGAATGCAACGTCACTAATAGTCTTAGAGAGAAAAAAAATTGCTTTATCCTGGAAAGCAACAGGTGCTTCACTTTTTTGGAGTGGGAAACTTACATCTATAGCCTTTTTTTAAATAAAGAGTTGTTTGATGTCTGGATTACAATAATATGTTTGTAAATCTGATTTCTGAATGAGCTGCCAGAACAGGTTACAATAAGAAGTGATTGTTATTTAAGTGAAACAACAAAGTATAAAGCATAATAGCAAAAGGGAACTTAATGAATGTGATGGTTAACCCTAGCAATGAATTGATAGGCTATTCTAGGGATTTATTTTCTTTTCTATCTGAAGTTCAAACAACATGGTATAAAATGTGATGCTAATTTGTTATGAGCCTGTTTCCTGCTACTGGCAGACTATGGTCACCCCAATTATGTTCCGATTAGGACTGCTTCCACTAAGCAAAATGTGTAGTCAGATTATTGATTTAGTCCATTGCATTAACTACAGTTTATAGTAGATGTTTAATCATGACATGAGCGATATCCTTATTCACTTTGTGTACTTCCACTGTTACAGTCATTAGATAGTGTTGCTGACATCAATGAATTGATATTTTTAATGCTGGCTGTTAGGAGGTTCTTCTTTACCTAGAGAATAGCGGAATTGTGGGACAGGTTTCTGGTTTGTGAGACCAATGCTGATTTCTTAAATTACTTTGTGAGAGCTGGACCTTCTTCGTGGCTGCGGCAAAGGTTACCCTGCACATTAATCAGGGCTGGAATGGTGTTCTGGGCTAGAGAAATATTGTAGAATTTTTTCCTACCCTCTTCCCTTCTCCACATTTTGACTGGTTTTCATCCTCCATCACTCCAGCTGGAGGTAATGCGGCTTCCTGGCGGAGGTGGGAGTATATGTATTGAAATGCACAAAACAATTCAGTTCTGTGGGACAGGCTGGTTGACAAGCAGGACTTTCCCAGCTCTTACTTTTCATGTTTGAGTATAATACTCTCACATAGTGGTGGAGCAGTTATTCCCAGCATTCCATGTCAAAATAACAGACAGAGAAATACCATGCAAAGTATATAAAATGCTCATCCACGAACACTCACTAGCAGGCATTTCTACGTATGTATTTAATGGATGCAAATGTGCTGAAATGAGATAGGTGGGCTCTGATTAATGTGTTTTTGGGAAAGACCATAAACGTGAATCTTGATTCAGTTCATAATTGAGTATTATTGATCAGAATGTGCTGTCCCAGGGGTTTATCGGAGAATTTTCCTTGTAGATAGACAATCTTTCCACGGACAATGGTAGCAAAAACCTCTCCCTGCAGTCTACGTCCAAGATATGGGGTCAACTGTAAAGGAAGCAAGATTAGAGTTATTTCTTTTTAAATATTTAGTTGGATAATTTCCTTGAGTTGAAGGACTTCTGTACTTGTAAATGAAGCACTTTCCAATTTTGAATATGTAGGAGCATGAGGTGGGTTATGATCAAGATACTGGAGTGTGTATAAAATTCTTAAGACATCTTAATAGGATAAAGGCTGAGAAGATGTTTCCCTTGGCTGCAGAGTTTACAACTAGGGGTCACATTCTCAGAATAAGGTGTCAACTATTTAGGACAGGTGAAGTATAGTTCCTTCACTTAAAGGACTGGACATTGTTGGAAGTCTTTACTGTAGGGGACTGTGGATGCCAAGTCATTGGACATATTCAACAGTGAATTGGGGGATTTTGGGGAAAGATGAGAAAGTATCTTATTAAATGGGGAAGTTGACTTTTGAGAGTTCAGTCCTTCTTCTATTATGTGCACCCAAATTTTTACTTTGCCTTCATAATGCTGCATAGCCTCAATCTCTAAGGCATCCTTTAATGTACCAGTATGTCATTCCTGAATGACAGCATAAAATGAAACAAACACAAAACAACTGGAAAAACCCAGCAGCCTGGCAGCAACTGTGGAGAGAAACAGAATTAATGTTTTAGTCTAATGTGGTTTCTTCTGAAGAAGTTATAATGGATTGAAAATGTTAACACTGTTTCTCTCTGTGCTGCCAGACTGCTGAGGTTTCCGGCATCTGTTTGTTTCAGATTCACAGCATCTGCAGAGTTTGCTTTTATTTAACATTAAAATGAAGTTTAGTTTTGCACCCATTGGAAACTCAGATTTAGCTCGCCATTTTGAGTCTGTCGTGACCAGCAGTGGGGACCAATAAACCACCAGCTCAGACTGCATTTGAATCCCAGAACCACTAATGAAAAGGCAAAATATTCAACTTCCTCTCCAAAGGAGACCCATGCTTCATGTTACTTGTGTATCTCAGTTCATATTGGGCGTGTTGAGGGTGCTTTATTTTTTGCTTTTGCTCCTTTCTGTTAGTAATCCAAGAGTGACAGTATCCTAAGTGAAAGAAATGCTTCTGAACTTGATTCAGTGCTTTAGTGAAAGCACCTAATGGGAAACCTGGAAGAGCAGCCTGGTTGTTGATTCAATCTGACGAGGATCTTTGTAGGGGAATGAAGGAATTAACCTACCTTCTATTCACAGCACTTCAAAGTAGGTGGTATCAGAATGACTAATGCATCTGTTGCCTTTTTGCATTAGCAGCCTCCGTCTAAGAGTTTGTGATGTCCTTTGATTTGTCACGACCTTTCTTTTGGATCATAATGGCGTCTCATTCGCACTCAATACCAGAACTTGTGTTAGTCGAGGGCTCTCATATTCAACATCCAAAATTGGTGTCAGTCGTGACACCATGTGTCTCGCTTGCTGCATTTTGGTCATAAGGCTCACCTATATCCACTCTTGTGTGCCCCCAACCAAAGTCGGTGCTTCAGGATGCTTATCTGTTACCTTGCACCAATGTTAAAAGTTCTCTGATTAGCTATGGATGGAATTACTCTCACATTTCTTGATGTGGAGAGGACGTTTGAGAGAGTGCTGAGGAATTAACGATGCTGATAAAGAATTGTCCAACCCCCAAAGCATGCAGTTAGAGGAATTCAAAGGAAGAGAAGCCAGTAAGTTGTAATTGGGGTTCTTACCTTGTTTTTGTGATGAATTGAGGTATCTTTCACCTGCAAACAATGATGTTCAGGTACTGAGTTTACTGAGACACAGAAGCAACCTTATGGTGAAACTGATAACATTTTAGTAACCTACCTCAAACTCTCTGTCAGGATCCCATATCACAAGGTCTGCATCCTTACTAACAACAAGAGAACCTTTCCTGTTCTCCAGCCCACACAGCCTGGCTGTGTTTTTACACATTAGGTTCACTACATCCTGAAGACTGAATCCTCGTTGACGAGCAGAAGTCCAGAACAGAGGAAGACCTTTTAAAAGAGTGACATTTCAGAGATTCTGGGAAGTGATAACAGCTGGTGTTCACTCCATACTTGGACAATAGGAAACACCTGCTATTCAAGTCCTAAGTTACAACGTATTCTCTGCTGTGTACCCTAAGGATGGAAAATGGTTTGCCACTGGGTAAATGCCTCCTGAATAAACATGAAATATATATAGCCATATTACATTATTTGTTATCATATAAATAGGTTCTAATAATGGTTTAGCTAAAAAAATTGCAGCATGGTCAATAATATGTAACATCTATGGTAATAATATGTAGCCTTTGGCTACCTGTCAATGATGATATATGTGTAACACTTGGTAAATGTAAAATAACCTATATGTTACTTGTGCAGTCTGTTTGTTGACTGTACATGGTATACGTGTTAACAATACACAAAGTATTTGTTTGGATGAACTTTCATTGATGAAGGGTGTTTTATGTCCCCAGGATGTGCTATAGTTCTTCTCAGCCAATGCATTAATTATGAAGTAAGTTACTGTTTAATTGCTAAGCGTAGAAACTCAAGGTCTCTCAGACAGAAAATTAAAGGATCAGTCAATCAGTTTTGGCAGTATTGGTTTAAAAAAGACGTTTGAGAGATCTCTTTGAATAGCAGCATGGGATCTGGCAGGAAGAGACAGAAGACAGCTTCTAACAATGCAGCACTATTCTGCATGGAACATTTGATGACGTGATGGACTCCCTAGAGTAAAATTAGAACACTTCATGTGCTGCCACAGAGATGAGGGTGTTACCATCTGATCTGACTGTTTATTAGACAGTAGTGCATGTGTTACCTGTATTATCTAGTTGAATTTAGCCAACAAATCTGACTCACCAAATTGCAGAGAAGAAATTCCCCCCCATGCTTTGAGGAAGTCTCCAGACTGCAGCAGTTTAAGGTCTGCAGTGCACGGAGAATGATCAGAGACCACCATGTCTATCTTTCCAGCTTTCAGTGCAGACCACAGCTGTTCCTGTGTGGGACAAATAGTGGTTCAACATACGCCAACATGGGTGAGGATGCTGTGAATGCCAATAACCTTATCTGATGTTTTATTATATCAATACCTCTCACCAGCTCCCAGGCAAGGTTCCCCAATTTGTTACGGTTCTAGACAGATGCCCCAAATCCGTAAACTCCTGAGTTAGGTGGGATCAATAGTCTCCCATTTCCCCCCCCTCTTTATTCTCCCCTCTTCCTAACCACTACCCCCTACCCAACCAAACTGTCATCGCTCCCCACCACCAAGTTGGTTGCAACAAGCTTAAATAAACAGGATTCCTTCCCTCATGGATACCATTCTCTAAGATCAAATGAAGTTGTTTTTTGGAAAGATCCAATTCAACCAGGCTTTCTTGAGTTAATGATAGAATTAATTCATTTAGTAAATGTGATAAATAGTAACAACACAGATTAGAAACGCGTCTTTAAAAAAAGGTAAAAGATATGCAGTTCAGTCTTTAGGTTGGTCATGAAGCGTAGATAGTAGAACATTAACAGTTAAGCATTCGATTTTTGGAACTTTTGGCTTGGCAGGTTGGTTGAAATTCTTTTGTCCGATTTTCTTTTGACGGTGACTGGCAGCATTCGAGTCATTCTTATTTCCTGTTTTCATTTGACTGGCTTTCTGGTGAGCTAACTTTTAGCACTTCGAGTAAGAGAAATGTTTATCTGCAAGGCAGGGCTCACTAGTGGGTGGTTCTTTGACTGTGACCTTCATAGCACATAAGACTTGAATACAGGCTAGTTCACCAGATTACCTCAGCCCTCCTGGTGCACACAATCACCTCTCCTCACTAGCACACCACCTTCCACTACAGTGCACAGACCAAGGTTGAAGTGGCATTTAAACTGTGTATTCATGAAAAGGGAATGCATAAAACTGAGGGGAGGTGATGGTGTGTGACCAGTAATCCAGAGCCCCAGCTAATGTTCTCGGGACATGAATTTGATTCCCACCATGGCAGACAGTCAAACTTGAATTCATCAAAGTTTGGAATTATAACCTAGGCTAATGGTAACTGTGCAATCCCTGTTGATTGTGGTAAAAATCTATTTGGTTCACTTTTTAACAAGAATATCTGCATCCTTGCCCAGTCTGGCCTACATGAAACTGTAGACCCACAGCAATGTAGTTGATTCTTAAATTCCCCCTGAAATAGCTAGCAAGCCATTTGAGGGGAATCTGGGATAGACATTGAATGCTGGCCTTGCCAGTGGCACACATCTCTTGAAGAAAAAAGAAGTCCCTTTACCTAGACTGCAGTTTTTCCTCCCTTCTGCTCACAGTCTGAGATCCTCATAGGGGATTACATTTCAGTTTGTTGTGCATTTCTCCTTTTAAGTTCATTGATTTGAAGTTTCTTCGACACCTCGTTAGGTGTGAAATTCCAGGGGTTCTCTCCCTCCAGACACTACTGAATTTACATCCACGGTCATATTTCAGATGAGTGTCTTTTTTAAAAAAAGTATTTAAATGTTCAACATTCCCATAATGATTTGAATTCCGCTGTTGTTATGACAGGAGTTTGCACAATAAATTCATTTTTGGAATGTAGCATAACATTATGTTGGCAAACCAGTTAGGAACAATGATGAGTTGGCATTTTGGATAATGCTCTGGCCTGTTTGCACTCTATAAGCCCCTCCATCAGTTGCACTGTTGTGACCTAACCCCATCTTGCCTCCCTGGAAGTATTTGAACTGCACATTTTTCCCAATTTAGTTAGTGGCTACTCATCTCCTCAGCCAAAGGACAAAGTAATTAAGAAAACAAAATAAAGTATCATGGGCTCTGTCTCCAACATTTGAGAGACAAGAGGGAGGTAGAGAATCTAACAGAAACCATTTACATATAGTGTACTAAGAATTGAAAATAAGAGATTCCCATGCATAATTCCACACACAAGGAACAATTACCCTTTACAAGTGTACTTCATGTTGCTTCATTTCCCTTCCCAACCACACACGCTCCCCATTCCTTAGATTTGAATTGCATCTTCATCCCTGTTTAGTTGGTGTGGCTCCTTCATCCCTGGGATAAAGGACTTTTACTTCAGCCATTGTGCACCTTTTTCTAGATGTGACAATGAACTGCGGAGTTTTGGAGCAGGAAGCGACCTGTTCCAAGTCAGTGCAGCCCAGTTGGAGGCAGGGTTGAGAATGTGGCAATCAGCTACATCACCGATCTAACGACCAGTCCTGTCCTGTCCTACCCTCCCCATTCCCACAACACACTGTTGCTGGTGAGTGAAGAAAGTCATGGAGGGAGGGCCTCACTCACTTTGCTGAAAAAGCAGTGAAGAGAGCATTTTACATGGAGCTGCAATGCTGCCGGAGGTCAAATATCTCGGTGCTGTTGAAACAATGGTTTACTGGCCAAAGGAGTGGGAGAAAGAGGCGTTTGGTGCCCAAGTGTGCTCCAGCCATCCACCCAGAGTGAAGCCATGAGCTGCCACCCCTATTCGCATCAAATGACCTCGTGCAAGTTTGCAAGTTAGTGTGAAAGCTAGTGGATGGGAATTGCAAACACTTGTCTGCACACAAAGTACTGAGAGAACTGGCCTTTTATTAGATTCTTTGTCTTCGAGGGGATAATTGTCGCATGTGATCGAGAATGGAAAATAGGGCTTGTGGTGATCTTGGAGATTAAGACAATCAATGCCAAAGGTGTGTGAGGTGATCAGGAAGGACCAACCCCTGCACAAGAGGTAGTTAGCCCCTTTTAGTGCTATGGTCCGTGCTGTTGGAACAAGATACTGCAGTGGGAATCGGACACTAAAATAGCCCTCTATAGGGGGTGATCAGTTATTGTAGCACAGAACAGCAAGTTGGTCTGGGACTGGGTGATCTTCAGTGACTAATTAGCAGATCCAAACTTAAAAAAAAAAGTACCCATGCATTCCTCCCAATATTCTCTCAATCTGAGGCTGTCACCAATGCTGAATTTTAACTCAAAAATTGTATTGATTTATGGACCACCAACAACTATTGCCCAAGCTAACGATATATCCTTCTTCCACTGCAAAACAGATTCCTGCCAGATTATAGCCACTAGACTACCAGAAAATATGCAAGAACCAACTGGATCTGCTTTTCCTCTCGTTTCATCAGAGTGTGTTGTGATAAGACCTGGAAGGTGTTGGTGAACAACGTAAGTGCTTCTGCTGTTTGAAAATAGATTAGAGTAAGACTGATGCAACTGGATTTCAACATTGTGAGGAGTCAGTCAGGACATGATATTTGGAACGTAGGAGCAGAATTCAGAGGAATTCCTCATAAAATCCAGAGAAGGCGGCAACTGGGTGTCAGATTTCGATGGAGAGCATGTATCAGATTAAAAGCTGTTTCTTCCAGTAGTGTTGAAAAACTGCTGCCATCTGGGAGTAGAACTCAAGTTTTGATTGAATCCAATTAAGAGTCATGCAGAAAAGTCAGTGACATTTGCAGACACAATGGATGCTGATACAATTTGCAATTCAAGGTATTTGTAACATTGGAAAACATGCAGATCAAAGAAAGAATCTTGCTATCAGGGTCCACTTTGGACAGAGGGAGCTTGGCAATCAAATCCCTCCTCTAGACTTTGTGGTTTAACCTCCGGACCATCTTTGTTTTGAAACATATTTAAAATTAGAATAATTGAATAAATGAGGAATCCATGCCTGATTTCTTCTTGCCCTAATCGGAGGGCAACATTTGTAGTGTGTGGCACCTTTTGGGATGTCTTCAGCAGCCAGTGAGAGATAATGATGAGTGGTTTCAACAGTAAGCATAGCCCCTGCTCTGCGGGCTTCATTTAGGATGGGTAGAGCTTCCGCAGTGGAAAGATGGACAATATGACAGTGAACTCTGGAACAGAGAAAGCGAGTGTGGTTCCAAGTGGAGCATTCTTTCACTGACAAACCAAACAAACTCTGAAAGCTTTGCGCTAACTGTGACCTCTTGGAAACTTAAGAATGGATGCTAACTTTTCAATGGGCTCTGAGTGAGGAGGTTCATTAGACTGGGATGTGGGGTGTCTCTTTCATGGAGAAATGGGGCGGGGTGGGGGTGCGTGTGGTGGTGGGCAGCAGTAATTTAGGAAACTGCCCAACCCTAGATTCAAGTGCAGGCCAGGGATGACAGTCCGAGCCATCTCAAGTACATCAACCTGGTAATTTGTGTGGGTAGAGCAATGAGTTGAAGTAGTAGCATTGAGATTCCATAGGCCAGCGTGCTCACTTTCTGTGTGCAGTGGATTACTCGTATTCTGCTGTCTTCTTGGGAGATTTTCACAGGCAGGGGATGTAATGCAGATAGCGCGCTTTGGGCCTATTTTGGATCAGTGCGGATCATAAAATGCAGCTACAGTTTGTTCCAGATTCTCCAAACAGGATGTGTTTTTGCAACTGGAAACAAAATTAGAAATTGCTGGAAAAACTTGGCAGGTCAGGCAGCATCTAGGGAGAGAAAGCTGAGGTTTGAGAGATCCTTCTTTAGAATGGACCCAAAACATCAACTGTTGTTTTCTCTTCCCAGATGCTGCCTGACCTGCAGAGTTTTTGAAGCAGTTTCTGTTTTTGTTTCTGATCTTCAGCATTCTTTGGTTTATTGTTAGGATGTGTATTTAGGTCAATCAGTTGTGATCCTAACAAAAAATGGGAAGAAATAAAATTTTAGTTCATCTAGTTCATTCTGTATGTAGTATTTGTAGGATAGAGAGTGAGTGGTAATGTTACCAGACAAATGATGCAGAGACCCAGGCTAATGCTGAGAGCCTGGGTTCGAATCCCACCACAGCAACTGGTGGAATTTACATTAACAAAAAATCTGGAATTGGAAACTCATCTTGGAAATAGTGACTGTGTACATTAATTTTTTGTAAAAACTTGTGTTTCGCCAAAGTCCTTTAGAAGCGTTACATTGTCCACACTTAATCTATCAATGAATAAAGGGAAAAACAAAACAATACTACCCCTCCTCAATATGAACACATAGTCCATTAAAATGTTACTTTGACAAGGGCACAGCCACCCCCTCTTTGTTTCTATACTCTCTCCACTTTTGCCCACTATCCTCACTCCAATTTCCTTTCCTTACCTGCTTTGGAGTTGCATAGATACTCACTTTCCCTGTTTCAGTTGTTTTGTTGAGTCATTTGCTTTGAGAAAATTTTTGCAACTATCAGAAAAATTATTGCTACAGAAAACACCTCTCCCCAGAGACTCTGGACGTAGAACCATAGAGTCATACAGCACAGAAACAGATACTACAGTCCAACCAGTCCATGCCGACATAGTCTCAAACTAAACTAATCCCACCTGCCTGCTCCTGGTCCATCTCCCTGCAAACCTTTCAGTATTTCGGAGGGATACTTTTCAGTGCAGCCTGTGTCGTGATCAGGCTTTCTTTGTAGTTAAATGAATTTCTTACCTGTACTGGAGGCAAAGTTTAATAACTATTCGAATGGCTTCCACCTCCATCTCATCGGGTCGGGTCACCAGAAATGTTGTGTAATCATGGGGGTCTGAGGGACCAAAGGAATAGAGTCGCATGTGACATATAGAAAAAGAAATGAAAAACAGAGAGACTGACAGTGAATCAGAGACATGAATAATCTAGAATACAGTTGACCACAGGCAGCTCACCACACTTTTTCAAAGGCAATTAGGACTGGGCAGTAAATTGTTGTCCTAGCTCATGTTGATATGTATTCTACCTTGTTCTCACTAGTGTGTGTTGTACATGGCTCACTGATTATATTGTATATGACCCATGTTGGTGCATGTTGTACATAGCTCGCATTGTGTATGTTCTACCTGATCCATGTTGCTTAATACTATACATGGCCCACGGCTCATGTTAGTTTATGTTGTTCATTGGTCATGTTGGTGATTATTGTACATAGCCCATGCTGCTGGAGGGATACATTTTAGGTAGGACACCAGGAAGAATCCATTGAGATGGAACATTTGAGAAGACAGGCAGGGCCTCGTCCATCTCTGATGCAGAAATGGGGCATCTGACGGTGCAAGTTGCCAGCTCTGAGCCCCTTTATACACGTTATTATTCATGCAAGTAATTACATTTGATATCTCTCTTAAATAAAAAAAAAAGTTCAAAACAGTCCAACAATTGAACTAAAACATTTACTGGTAGCTTGATTGTTGTTTTCATGTGTTTCATTTCTTGTACTTACTGTTTAGTCGAGGAGTCACATGTTCCAGCTCGTGCTCTGCATGGAACTGATGAAACAATGCATATTGCATTAGCTCTTTCATGCTTAACATGATATGTAATGTCGATACATGGATGACTTTCCAGTTTATTGCCCCTGATGGTAGGTAATGTCAGATAAAAGACAGGCTAGATACAGAAAATATCCTCTACACTAGCCCATCATACACTCCCAGGACACATTCAACACTAGTGGAATCAGTTATGTCATAGTGAGATTGACCAGTGAGCCTCTTCCAAAACATTAAGGTTTCAGTTTAGGAGGTGAATCCCACTGTATTGAATAAAGTGATGTAATCGGAAAATAAAGAATAGGGTACATTTGGTTTTACCATCAACTGTCTTTGAAGCACATCAACCTGGTTCACAGACAAATCTATCAGTCGTTTTACACATTCTAAGACCCCAAATGCAGAACTGAAAAGGATGACTATTGAATTAATTCTTGGTGATATTTGAGAGAAGAGCGTTTACCAAGTTAAGCATTGGAATCAATAGACAGATAAACATAGCTTTTGTCACTCATCCAAAGGACTGAGTGCGGCACACAATTTCAGCTTGGATTATAGTTTCAAATTGCTCAAGTTCCAGCCTATAAGCTTCTGATCCAGAGTTAAAATGCTAGCTGAGATCATTACCCAATATACTACACTCAGAGAGCAGAAGTTGAGAGCTTTTCCTTCATTGAGTTTTACAGCAGTTTGATTCAGAATAAGTGACTGGTCAGGTTTTTCACCTCTGACCCAGTGCCTGTGAATAAAGTGAATTATCAGAAATGACAAGCTAGTGGAGCCATAAACGGCAAATCCTTAATGCCATTCAACAAATCCATAGTCAGGGCTGAGAATGCAGGCTGACCTCTGCAAATAAAGACTATCAGAGCCTTTCAATTCACACAAGGATTAGAGTTCCTGACTCTCTTCTTCAGCACCGTCTATCTAAGGGTTTCACAGTGACAAAACATAACGCTGAATCTGTATGCCCATAGGGTTTTTTCATGTAGGACTGTATTTCATATTGGGTTTTTCTATCCAGAGGATCTCCTGTACACTGGTTTCTGTAATTCAGTCTTCTGTCTGACTAGAAAGCTCACAATATAAACCCGTGCTTCAGTACCACGTATGTCTATTTCTGAAGTTTCTCTGCTCCACATATGCATTGTCTCAAAAACTTACCAGTCAGTCCAGTTTACAGTTTTATCACAAACAGAACACTTGACTGTTGACCTTTATTGTTTAGAGTTGCAGTCTGTGTGTATATTTAACTTTGGATAGAAGGAGAGAGATAGAGAAGTTGTGTATTTACCAGTAACACCCGACCTGTGCCCTGCAGTTGAGACAGGGCTGGCCGCAGATCAGCTTCAGTAACATGAGGGAATTCGTCCACTCCACTGTTAATGAGGAAACACTTGAACCCTGGGACCCCAGCCTTAATCATGGGGCGCAGTGCAGACTAGGCATAAAAGTAGAAGGGTTAAATCCATGTAGCAATGTGTTCTACAGTTATCTGACTGGTGACAGGCACAGCTTTCAGTTTAAACTTTACTTTTGAGTAATGTAGAAACATAGAAAATAGATGGAGGAGTAGGTCATTCGGCCCATTGAGCCTGCACTACCAGTTAATACGATCATGCTATTTCAGTTTCCCACTCCCGCTTTCTCTCCATACCCCTTGATCCCTTTAGCTGCAAAGGCCACGTTGAGCTCCCTCTTGAATGTATCTAACAAACTGGACCCAACAAGTTTCTGTGGGAGTGAATTCCATAGCTTCACAATTCTGAGTGAAGAAATTCTTCTTTATCTCAGTGCTGAACGGCTTACCTCTTATTCTTAGACTGATTTCTGTTTTTGCAGGGTTTCTTTTTGTCCCAGAGTCTGGTTACTTAAAGGGCAGAATAAGCTCCAATTGGTAACTGGCATTGGTGTTTCACCATGATAGTGAGCACTCCAATTTAAATCAGAATTAAAGCATCAGTCAAGTATTGAACTAGAGATGCTGGAAATTCCTGTAATGTATTTAGGGAAATTGTGGCTTCTAAACCCACCACTCCTCTCATCCAGTCTGCCTTGATTCCAATTCTTGCTGACAGTCTCCACCAACACGAGTGCAGATTGAGGAAGTGGGAACAGAGATTCACTTTCCCACCTTTAAATAGCTGAAAGTTTGGGAATGGTGCACATCCAGTGTGCGGTACAAGCTCCCCATTGGTGTCGATGATGTGGAGTCCTGTCCCCACAGTGGCAGACATTTCTTGCAAATTTTGCACTTACAAGTTCATTTTCCCTCATCACTCCAGTGGCCTATGGCACACTAAGTTACTCAGTGCTGCCATTTGGTGCCAAATTAAAACAAAACAAAACCAGGATCGAAAGATAACCCAAACCATGCAGACTGATTAATCTGTTCATAATGCAGGTTTAATACTTTTTAAAAGGTTCACCTGGTTGCCTGGGACAATACCTCCCCAAAATGCAGTATCAACAAAGCACTTGTCTCTAGCGGCTTGCAGTTTCGTTTGGAAGTTTTCTAACGTAGTTGTTGGTGGGATGCTGTTCCTGTCCATGACAAAAACAGAGATGCAGTTAGATGGACTACAACACAAATCCATCACACTAACATTTTATTAGAGTTTCAACACAAATCTATGCATTGGCACAGTATGTAAGTTTTATTTTATTCATTCATAGGATGTGGATATCACTGTCAAGACCAGCATTTATTGGATTTGAGAAAGTAATGTTGGGTTGCATTCTTAAATTGCTGCACTCTATGTGGTGCAAGTATGTCCACAGTGCTGTTCTGGTGGGAGTACCAGGATAGTGACCCAGTGGCAATAAGGGAATGGTGTTATATTTCCAAGTCAAGATGGTGCGAGGCCTGAAGGGGAACTTGCAGGTGGTAGTGATTCCAATGGTCCTTGTCTTTTTGAGTCGGAGGTCTCTTCACAGATTTACTGTCAAAAGAGGTTAGACAAGTTGCTGCAGTGCATCTTGTGGATGGTACACACTGCTGCCAATGTGCACCAGTTTTGGAGGGAGTGAACATTGAAGGTGGTGGTTAGCTGCAATCAGGCAGGCTGTTTTGTCCCGAAAGGAGTTGAGATTCTTGTCTGTGGTTGGAGCTGCACTTTGTTATCCAGCCAAGCGGAAAGTTTTTCAGTACATTCTTGACTTGTGCCTGGTAGATGGTAGAATTCTTTGGCGAGTTAGATGAGTTACTTGCACTGAATTCCCAGCATCAGACCTACTCTTGTAGCCACAATATTTTTGTGTTGGTCCCATTACATTTCTGGTCAATGGTAACCCCAAGATTTTAGTAGCAGTGGGATATGGTTAGACTCTGTTGTTGGAATTCATGACATCGCCTGGCACTAGTGTGATTAAATAATTGATTGTTACTTGTCAGCTAAAGTCTGAAAGTTATACAGGTCTTGCTGCACTTGAACACGGAATCTGAAGAAATGGAAATAGATCAGAACATTGAGGAATCATTAACAAACATCTCCACTTCTGACTTTGTGTTGGAGGGCAGGTCATTGATGAAGCAGCTGATGATGGTTGGGCTTAAGATGCTACCCTAAGGAGTGAGTCCTGCAGTGATGTCCTGGAATGGAGATTAACCTCCAATAACCACAACCGTCTTCTTTTGTGTTAGAAATTACTCCAGTCAGAGTTTTCTCCCTGATTCCCATTGATTTCAGTGTTGCTGGGACACTTTGATGCCACTTTTGCTCAAAAGCTGCCTTAATGTCAAAGGCAGTCATTTTACCTCACATTTGGAATTCAGCTCTTTCTTTCCAAATTAGACAAAAGCTGGAATGAAGTCTGGAGGTGACTGGACCTTGAGGAACTCAAACTGAGCACCAATGAGCAGGTTATTGCTGTGTAAATGTTACTTGATAGCATTGTTGACAACACCTTTAATCACTTTTCTTCATTCGGGACCCTGGATGTAGCAGAGCTGTATAATGTTGAAATGATCTGTTGGTAATGGATTTCATTGCTATGTCTATAGTGTGCTGATTTTATAGTTTAGCATACAAGTAATCCTGTATTTCAGCTTGACCAGGTTGGCTGGTTCAGCTCCTCAACTATTCATTGAACCAAGGTTAATTTTCTGGCTAATGGTACAGTAATTATAAATTAAGGGTGTACTGACCCATGAGGTGACAGGTTGTAGTTGAATACAGATTTGTTTCTGCTAATGGCCCACAGTATTTCAGGGATGGCCAGTTTTGAGATATTCAATCTGTTCAGAATCTATTCTATTCAGCACCATGGCAGTGCCACATAATACGATAAAGAGTATCCTCAAACAAGGATAGAATGTTGTCTCCGCCAGGACTTTGCTATTGTTACTCCTATGAATAATATCATGGAAAGATGCATCTGTGACAGGCAGATTGATGAGGCCCAGGAGGGATTTCCTACTTATTGCTTCTCAACTGTAAGTGCAGTCTATTCTTTAAGACTTGATTGACTTGGTCAGGATTGGGGCTACCAAGCTACATTTCGTCATAAAAGTTCTGAGCAAGGGTCGCCGGACCCGAAACGTTAACTCTGTTTTTTCCTTCACAGATGCTGCCAGACCTGCTGAGCTTCTCCAACAACTTCATTTTTGCTCCTATATTTTGTGATAGTCATTGAAGTCTCACACTCAGACTACATTTTGCACCCTTGCCACCCTCAATGCTACTTCCAATTGGTTTTCAGCAGGGAGGAGTACCAAGTGATCAGCAGTGGGAGGGCATTAAGTAGTAATTAGCAGGAGGTTTCCTTGTCCTTCTGTGATGTGATACCATGAAACTCCATGGGATCTGGAATCAATGTTGAGCACTCCCAGAGCAATTCCCTCTCGACTATACACCATGGTGCTAAAGCCTCTGCTGGGTCTGTCCTGCTGCTGGGACAAGACATACCCAGTAGATCGTGATGTCTTGGATATTGGAAGGTATGATTCCATAATTAGGACAATGCCAGGGTTTTTCTAGACTAGTCTGTGGGATAGGTCTTCCAATTTTGGCACAAGTCCACAGAGGTTAGCAAGGGAGCTTTGCAGGGTCAGTTATGCAGGCTGTCTTTGTGTTTGTCATTTCAGATACCAGGGTTGATGCTGTTTGGCTTTATTCTTATTTGGCTTTATTATAGCAATTTTACTGTGATCTTGCAATTAAGTCTTCTGCCAGGGCATTTCAAAAAGCAGTTAAGAATCGATCACATTGCTGTGGATTTGGAGTCATCAGTGAGCCACGCTCTAGAAGGATGGTAGATTTCATGCTGTGAATGATATTGAAGAAGTTGGGCTTTTACAGCGTTCACATAATTTTGAGATTACCATTAGAGGCACCAGCTTTCTATTCTGGAATTATAAAATGAAGGAAATTGAAATATGACAGCTGTGGTGGTGAAATTTGAACACGTATCCCAGGATCATTAGTTCTGTAATATAATCATTCTGACGTTGTAGTAATTCAAAGAGAAATCTGACATACTGGCAAATTAGAGGTTTAGACACAGTCTAGTATCTTAACATATTGACACACTAACACACAAAAGGAGTTCATACACTAGTATGACGCCCTGACACACCATAGGGATATATGTACCTGTCTAACATGCTAACACGCTGTTGGAGTTCAGGCACCAGTCTGATACACTAACACAATACTGAACTGAGATAGCACTCTGACACGTTAGCACATAGAAGTTCACACACTTGTCTGACACAATACCACATCATAGGTGTTTAGACACTATTACCACCAACTGACAGGCTATAGGGCTATAGGTATCGTTCTGACGCACGTGCACGTCGTGTGGGTCCACACATTAGGTTAACACACAACGCACTGCTGATGTTCATACTCTAGTCTGACACACTAACACATAATAGGGGTTCAGACACTAGGCTGATATACAATAGGGGTTAATAGATCAGTCTGATACACTGCAGATGTTCAGGCAACTGTTGACACAGTAACACACTACAGGTGTTCAGACACTTGTCTGACACAAACATTTCAGATGTTCAGGCACCAGTCTTATACACAACATAGCATTGGGTTTCACACACCCATTTGACATACTAATACATTTTGTAGCTTACACAGCAGACTGATCCTAAAGAGGTTCTGGCACTAATCTTATACACTAATAAGCTGTAGATGGTCAAACATCAGTCTGACATACTACCATACTACAGGTGTTTAGGTTCCCCTCTGTCACATTAATACACAATAGGGCTTTACACTCCAGTCTGACCCACTAATACTCTGGAAGGGTTCAGATAAAGGGCTGACATGATGTTCAAAAACACACTCATATACTGTCAGGGGTCAAGCACAAGTTTAACCAAACTGATGTACTTTAGGGTTCAGGTACTGATATACTTGCATTAACACAAACATACCAGTCTGATACACTAAAAATCCTATAGGGGCTCAGGTACTAATGTGACACAACTATATTCTTGGAGTTCGTACACCAGAATGGCACATTAACATGCGACAGGGGTTCTGATATACTGTGTGATGCATTTGCACCTTGGTTCCTTACAGTGGCATGTCAGCAATAGTTGTTATTCCACCTGCTGCAGCTGCTCTTGTTGCTGTCCAGTAGCCTTCCCAATCAGTGCGGCCTGGTTCATTAACATGGACATGACTGTCCACAACACCAGGCATCACCAGGAGGTCTCCAACGTCCAGAATCTGCACCAAGTCAATGATTAACAGAGATTAAAACAGGCAAACAGTACCTAGGAAGAACACAATCAATCATTAGACCCATCATTGGGTCACCAGTACCGACACTGTTTGTGGCTGGCTTCAGCTCTAGGAAAAGGCTCCAGCTACTTAAATGTGGGAGGACAGTGTTATGCTCACTCCCTTATCCCCTATGGGGCTTGCCTTGAATCCAACATAGAATAATAGGGTGAACACATTTTTGTACTGATTGTGTCTGAAGTGAACTCAAGCAATCCTTAAATACTTCAACATCTCTGCAGCACCAGTCTGTGGTGGGGTTGGGGGAGGGGATGGAGTCAGAGGGAAGGGGAGGAGAGAGGAAGGTTCCAGAAGGCCATGGGTATTTTCGAGTTGTTGCATCTTGTGGGCCTTAATGCCTGAAAGGGAAAAAAAAAGTTTCTTGTTAGCAAGATGAATGACCTGGAGGATGAAGTGGAACTGCCGACTGCGTCTCCTCACCCAGGAGCTTAATGATTTGGGGTAACCATCTGAAATCCTAACTTTGAACATCTCACCTGAGGTCTGATTATATAGAAAGATATTTACACTTTTTTTTTTAGCATGTGTCAGATTCCATCAATCATCCGACCATTTCCTATCATTCTAGGATGTATGTCTCGGCTTGTTCCTAACCTTCTTAAAATAAGTACACAGAATCTAGCTTTTCAAGAACCATTCACAAAGTGTTAAGGAGCTGAGGTTAGCCACAATGCACTGGGGAAAGAAGGAAGCATTTTCACGCCCAGTGACACCAGCTGCTGATAAATTTGTCTGTATGCAGAAACAAAACGCGACAGTACCTCATGACGCATCTACCTAATTTTATACAAACTGAGCTACAAACATTAACATGGCAAAGCTGTGCAGGCATTAAGTGGACGAATGTTTCGGGAGTTGATGCAACATAAAAACGGAAAGGACTGCAGATGCTGTAAATCAGGAACAAAAACAGAAGTTGCTGGAAAAGCTCAGCAGGTCTGGCAGTATCTGTGAAGAAAAATCATAATTAACATTTCAGGTCCAGTGACTCTTCCTCAGAACAATGGGCAGACCTATTGTTTCAGCCTGCTCCTACCCCACAGAGCTGATCTCTTCCTACCTTTACTCAGTCTTCCCTCCCCTGGTCCAATCCCTGCCCACATACATCCATGATTCCTCACACGCTTTATGCCAGGTTCAAAACTTCCAGTTTGCAGGTACCAGCCGCCTCCTCTTTATCATAGACTTACAGTTGCTTCACACATCCATTTCCCACCAGAAGGGTGTTAGGGCTCTCCACTTCTTTCTGGAACAAAGCCCTGATTCGTCCCCACCCACCACCACCCTCCTCCGCTTGGCTGAGCTCGAACTCGCCCTCAACAACTTCTCTTTCAACTCCTCTCATTTTCTTCAGGTCACGGGTGTTGCCATGGGTACCCGCATGGGCCCCAGTTATGCCTGTCTCTTCGTAGGGTACATGAAACATTCCTTGTCCCAATCCAATTCCAGTCCCTACCCACAACTCTTTCTCCAATACATCAATATATCAATGACTTCATCGGTGCTGCTTTCTCTCTCTCGTCCAGAATTGAAAAAGTTAATCAATTTCACTTCCAATTTCCATCCTACCCTCACTTTCACCTGGTCTATCATTGACTCCTCCCTTCTCTTCCTTGACATCTCTGTTTCCATTTCTGTGGATAGACTGGCCATTAATATCCACTATAAACCCACTGACTCCCACAGCTACCTGGACTATACATCTTCACACCCTGTTTCCTGTAAAGACTTCATCCCATTCTCTTAGATCCTCCGTCTCCTTCGCATATGTTCAGATGAGGCCAACTTCGACAAGGGAGCTTCTGAAATGTCCACCTTCTTCCTCAACCGAGGATTCTGTAGCATCGTTGTTGACAGGGCCCTCAATCAGGTCCGAACCATCTCCCGCACTTCTGCCCTCACCCCTTCTTTTCCGTTGCTGACAGCGATAGGGTTCCCCTTGTCTTTACCTACCATCCCACCAGCATCCACATCCAGAAGATCATCAGGTGCCATTTCCACCACTTCCAGCAAGATGCCACCACCAGACACCTATTCCCCTCCCCTCCCTTGTCCACTTTCCGCAGGGACTGTTCCCTCTGGGACACCCTGGACCACTCTTCCTTCACGCCCACAGCCCTACGGCACCTTTCCCTGCAACCAGCGAAGGTGTAACACCTGCCCATTTACCTCCTCCCTCCCCAGTATCCAAGGGCCCAAACATACCTTCTAGGTGAAGCAACACTTCACCTGCACTTTCCAGAATCCAGTCTACTGCATTTGCTGCTCACAATCGAAACGTAGACTGGGTGACCGCTTTGCAGAGCATCTATGTTCTGCTCACAAAAAAGACTCTGAGCTACCTGTTGCTCGCCACTTTAACACACCACCCTGTTCCCTGGCCAACACCTCTGTCTTTGGCTTGTTGCAGTGTTCCAGTGAAGCTCAATGCAAACTGGAAGAACAAGACCTCATTTTCTGCTTGGGGACCCTGCAGCCTTTTGGGCTCAATATCAAGTTCAATAATTTTAGGGCCTAAACTCTTCTATGTCCTAGCCCCCTACCTCACACACCAAGCCTTGTTATCACATAACCTGCCATTACACACTACCTGTTGTTAGTCACTAACAGTCCCTGTTAACAATTATTCACTCTCCCAGCCTATCAACTCCTTTGTCTATCCAACTGCTCTTCTCTCTCTTCGGGTTCTATCCTATCGTTTACTCCCTACCCCATCCCCTTTCCTATTTTTTGCATATAAACTGACATTTTCTCAGCTACCATCAGTTCTGAGGAAGAGTCACCGGACCCGAAACATTAACTCTGACTTTTTCTTCACAGATGCTGCCAGACCTGCTGAGCTTTTCCAACAACTTCTGTTTTTGTCTCGGGTGAGGAGTGTTGAACTGGCTCCTCTTCCTTATTTACCCGTCCCTTTGGTTGGTCGCAACAAGGTTAATTTAAAAAAGCCCCTTTTCCTTATGGATGCCTTTCAGACAAAGTGGATTTATGGTTTAAAAAGAGCCAATTTAACCCAGTCTTTCTTGAGTTAATGAGAGGATGTGTTGATTAGTGACTAAACATGAAAAGTAATAGCAGAAACATATACTGAGATTAGGAATAAAAAGTTAGTGCAAAAAGAGATAGAAGTTGAAAGATTTACAGATCAGTCCGTCTGGGTCATTTGTGAAGAGCAGATGGGGAACAATCACTAGTTAAGCAGTTGATTTAGGGTTCCTGCCTTTTGAATGCTAGTTGAAATCCTTTTGACCTGTTAATTTTTAATAGTGCTTGTCTGACCACACTCAGAGTGAGAGAATCTTTTTACTTGCAACACTGTCGTCTCTAATGGGTGGTTCTTCAACTGTGACCTTCTCAGCATGCTGTTGTTTGAATCCTGGCTAGTACACTTGAATACTTTAGTTCACTGGCACACCTTCTTCCAGTAGCACTCCTCTCAGTAGCTCACGTAGACAAAGGTTGCAGTTGGTTTTTAACCCCTTTTGTTGCATGTCCTTGGAAGGGCAAAACACAAAAAAAAAGTCTGCAAAGAAGTGGCTTTCTGCTGAAAGGCAGAAGACAGTCAGCCCCTTATTATCTTTCCCTGATAAGAATTTCTCTCTGTTTGAAATTTCCTTGATTCTTTATAGACCCATTCCATTTGCCAGAAAGCATTGAATTTACATAAGCAGTCCTTTTTTGTCCGCACCAATCCCCCTTTTTAAACAATTTTTTTTGGAATCAAAAGTGAAAGGTGTCTCTTTAGATTCTAATCTGGTCATTATGATGATTTCACAAAACAAGAGGGAAACCTTCAGAAGGAAACAGCACGTTACGGACGTCCGCTGCCTTATTAAGCAGAAGAGGAAACGTGTGGTGGGCACTTTACATGAGGGTCTAAATCACGTCCGGATGAATCATCACATCAAGTGAAATCACTGACAGAAATGCTTCTTTTCTCTTTAAACAAAGGAAGATTTACCAAAAGGCATTCAATGGAGACTGTTCCTCTGCATAATAATTGCTTGGAATTAATTGGAATCTTTTGAGAAGGTGGTGATGATGCTTTTTCTTGAACTGCTGCACTCTGTTTGGTATATACTCTCCATTGTTTCATGATTTTGACCAATTATGATGAAGGACCAGTAATATATGTCCAAGTTAGGATAGAGTGTGACTTGGAGGTGATAGTGGGCTACGCACATGCTGCTTCTGTTATCCTGAGAACTGAGTCTTCAGGTTTGGACTGTGTTGTTAATGAAGATGCTGTCAGCAGCTACAAGCAGCCAACCAGGGCTTAATGAAAGAGATTTGCTGCTGGCAACACATTTAATTATAGGAATGAGTTTCAATAGGCTAATTACCTTTTCTTGTCTTTATATATTTGCCCCATCTTGGTAGGTTAATTCAAATGAAGAAGAACAAATTTGTGTTTGTATACTGCCTTTGGTAGTCTCAGGACATTCCAAAGTACTTACTGCGAGTGAATTACTTATGATCACAGTAGACATATATCAGACATCTATAACAAAGTTCTGCAAACAACAAATCACCAGCCATTGGCCATGTTACTAGACTAGCAATCCAGAGACCCAAGCTAATGGAAGATGGTGAGATTTGAATTCAATTAATAAATGTGGAATTGAATGGTACTTAAACTGTGACCATTGTCAATTGTTGTAAATAACTGTCTGGGTTTGTGAGCCACTCAGTTGTATCATGCTGCTCTGGTCTATGAAAAGGAATGAATCTGGAGGTGCTCTCTGGCATTGACCCAAGTATCAGAAATGACAGTGGCAAACCAGCCCTGTTAACACTACCTTACTGCGAAGTTTACATTACTAGCAACTGGGGTCCTCTGCCAAAAATTGGGATAACTGTCCCACAGATTTGTCAAGCAACAGTCTGACATATTGATACTCACAGTGCCTTACCTTACAGACTACAACCCAGACGCTGGTGGTGCCAGGCATGGTAGTATGTTTAGGTCAGGAGTGAGTCACCCTGTGAGTTCTCAACATTGACTCAGGACATCATGATGTCTCATGGCGTCAGGTCAAACATGGACAAGAAAACATCTTGTTGATTATCACCTTCCTCCTCCCCTACCCTCAGTTGATGAATCAGTACTCCTCCATGCTGAATACCAGTTGGAAAAAGCACCAAGGGTGGCAAGTGCACAGAATGTTCTCTAGGTGGGGTACGTCAATATCCACTACCTAAAGTAGATCAGTAGCGCTCTACTGACTGAGCTTCCCAAGTCCTAAAGGACATGGTTGCTAAGCTGGGTCTGTGGCAGATGGTGAGGGTGCTCATATGACGTAAAAACATACTTGACCTCATCCTTGCCAATCTGCTTGCCACAGGTGTATCTGTCCATGACAGTATTAATAATGGTGACCACAAACAGTCATTGTTGTGCCTGTCTTCCTGTTGAGGATAGCCTCAATGTTGTGAGAGACCACCACCATGCTAAATGAGATTTTGGACAGATCCAGCATCTTGAAGCTGGGCATCTGTGAGGCATTGTTAGCCTGAGCAGCAGCAGAATTATATTCAACAACAATGCGCAACCTTATGGCCAGATATATGCCCCCAAACTATCATTACCAACGAAGAACACCAGTAACAGTACCAGGCAAACTGAGAAGTGAGGTGTCAACCTGGTAAAGTTACAACACAGGACAACCTGAATATAAAAATATCGTAAAATGGTTAATGCACGGAATGAAGCCATTCAAACTGTCATGCCCATGCTGGTTCATCGCAAGAAGAGCTCAGTTGGTTCCAATAATTTTCCCTTTACTCCATAGCTCTGCAACTTTTTCCTCTTTGGATAATTAACATTTTGAAAGTGTCCTCTGGATCTTCACCATTTTGCCAACAGCAGCATTTTCTCCATATCTATCCAGAACCCTCCCTGATCTGGAGAACGTCAATTAAGGCACCTCTCAACCTGATCTTCTCTTAGGACAATAACTCCAGATTCTCGACTCCATCCATGTAACTGAAATGCCTCATCCTAGAACCATTCTCGTAAATCTCTTTTTCACCCTCTTCCGTGTAGATTAGATCATAGATTTCCTACCGTGTGAAAGCGGGCCGTTTGGCCCATTGAATCCAGACCGACCCTCTGAAGACCATCCCACCCTATCCCTGTAGCCATGCATTTCCCATATATAACCTACCTAGCCTGCACATCTTGGACACTAAGGGCAATTTAGCACGGCCAATCCACCTAACCTGCACTTTGGGAGGAAACCAGAGCGCCTGGAGGAAACCCACGCAGACATGGGGAGAATGTGCGAACTCCACACAGCCAATCGCCCATGCCTGGAATCGAACCTGGGTCCCCAATGCTGTGAGGCAGCAGTGCTAACCATTAAGCCATCGTACCACCCACAAACTCAGCTCACCCGAGACAGGACTTGAACCCAAAGTCCCTGGCTTAGGAGACCACACCTGTGCCTTATCCATTAGGCCACAGGGGCTGTTTGAATATATCTTCATATTCGTCCTAAAGCGTGGAGCCCAGAACTGGACACATTACTCTGGATGAGTTTGAACCAGAGTATTATAAAGATTCTCCGTAACCTTTTTTTAAATTAATTCACAGGATATGGGAGTCGCTGGCATGAATTGCCCTGAGGGCAATCATGAGCGAACTACACTGCTGTGGATCTGGAGTCACATGTAGGCCAGACCAGGTAAGGATGGCAGTTTCTTTCCCTAAAGGACATTAGTGAACCAGATGGAGTTTTCCTGACAATCAACAATGGATTCATGGTCATCATTAGATTCCAGATATTTCATTGAATTCAAATTCCACCATCTGCCGTGGCGGGATTCAAACCCAGGTCCCCAGGACGTTATTTGGGTCTCTGGATTAACTGTCCAGCAATAATACCAGTAGGCCATCATAATCCCATAAGTTTGGTTCCTTGGTCCCTTTATCTAAGTGGTTAATTGCAGTCATGATCTGTCTGACAGCAGATCTTCTGTTCCTTGTTTGACTTGCTTTGGTCTTGTACTTTCTTCATCTGTTGCTTACAAGCCCCCATTTTCAACTTAAGTGAGCACCATGACTAGAGGAAATAACACATGAGGTAATTTTCCTGCTGCCTTCCTCATATGTGCTTCAAGGAAGCCCATACCATTGTCCCTCAGGTTCTAGTTGTTCCAGTCTCACCAATGAAAAATGTACTAGTGTCACCCTTGACCATAGTTGTAATGCTGAGTGAGAGCCCTTCCTTGGGTCCCTGAGCAAATCACAAACAGGCAGCACCCCCTGGGGTCTCAGATGACCTTGCTATCCTTAGGTTCTCTTGTAGATTGTGAATAGACAAGGCCCAGCACTGGTCCTTGTGATTTGCTATAGGTTAGCAGCCTGAAAGTACCTGTTAATCTCTCCTATGACCCAGGCTTCCCACTCAACTGTTTAAGGCCGAGTGGTTAGGGGTTTCTCATCTTTCACAGAACCCTATGATCCAGAAGACACCCCATATTTGAGTTGGTGCTGCAGTATGAGGCTAGAACAAGGAGCCTTGCTAATGGCCTGCAAGACTTTTGTGAACCAACTGGGATTCTGAGCAACAGTCCAGTCCCTGACCAAGAGGCATTGCACAGGTGTGGGTATGGAGAATACTGGGTGGAAATGTGAAGAATACCAAGCTGATGAAACAGTGTCCTATTTGTGAATGTGCATTTTAGACAATGTCTGCAAGGCTTACCTGTTGACTTGTTACCTGTGGTGCTGTGACTCCCTCAGGCACTATGTCCACAATCTTGCTACCTTCTATGATGATGTGAGCTGGGCAGATCCCTGAATCCAGCAGCACCTTTCTGCTCCGCACCACAGAGAGCTGAGAGCCTGCTTCCATTTTGAACGAAAATTCGTCCAGACAGTTCTCAATGTTTTTACCTGTGATCAGTCAATTTTGTGTTGAAATCATCAAGTCAATCATTAATCAAATAGATAAGAATGATTGACGGTAGTCAAAAAAAAATTTAATAATGGAACAAAGGTCCATGAACACACGGTACAAAAGGCTTTAGAAATCCATTGCTGTATCTGACACAGAAGTGATTTGACATATCAGTATAGTTGGAACGCAGTCTTGAATCCAGCTTGTGCTATACCTGCTTCATGTTGCTACCTGCTGCCTAAGATATGGTACATGATATACTACTGTCCATGCTTGGAAATCTATTCAATTCTAACACATTTGCTGTTTCCTGCAGCTCTGTGAACATGCATAAAAAGGAAACACATATTCCTATGCAAAGAATTAAAGTCTTACAGTTATGTGATGTTTTCCATGACCTCTAGACATCCAAAGTATTTCATAAAATAATGAGTTAATAATGCCTTTACACTGCGTAGAGTTATAGAGCATTTGCAGAGGGAGCTAGGTTAAAGTGACATCTGATTAGATGCAACTGGGACTTTTCTCAGACCCTCTGTCTATTGTTATGTTCAAAGTGCTTGTTTCTGTTCAACATATCCTAACCTGTGCCTTCTGCGACGAAACTTTGGCTTTAAGAGGTTATTTCGTACTGGTTTGTTTTAAGAGAGAGAGTGAACGAGAGGTGATGAGCAATCCGTAAGAAAGTAAACAGGCTTGTGAGGCCTTGCGTTTTTTAAAAAGTTGGAACAGTAGAAGCAGCCTGACTGGATGGGGTCGAGGTTCCACAGAACTGAGATCTTTAGTTTGGCTCTCAGCGGTTGCTGTTGAAGTCTGGAAGAAGTGAAAACTATTTTTTCCCTCTCTTGATTACAGCTAAAAGCTGAGGGTTCTCTGCCTGCTATGGGAGTTGCATGTGAATCAGATTATTTTCTGAATTTGCTTTTTACCAAGGGGTGCTTTGGGGATGTTACTACATTGGAACAGTTAATTTGTAATAGTTACTGTATGTATTACTCTGTCAAGTTTTCCAGTAGAGTTAAGTTATTCCAATTCCTCCTCTATTGTATTTTAACCATGGTGAATGAATAAAGTGTGTTTTGTTTTAAATCCAATAGTTTGACCAATCGAATTCCATCTGGAATGCAACACCTTATATTTACCTTCAAAATAAGAAAAAGTTAGGGTCTAGACTATCTTCTGAATATTTCAAGAGAGTTGGGTCTGCTCCATAGCAACTCAGGTTAGTGATCCGTGTTTGGAAACAGTTTGTCCAATTAATTAACCAACTAAGCTAAGACATTATTTTATCACATCAGAAGTGGTATATTCAACATAAATATGATGGAGCTTATGGCGACTGTTTGGTTGTGGGCTTTAATACACACAGTATGTTGATTGGCACTGAACACTAACTATGCAGTAACTGAAGGCCATGTTTACGGATGATGCCTCTACGTAGGCAGAGGACTGGGTCCACATGTACAGCAACAGAGTGCTGCAACACTATGTCACGGCCACCAAGGGACTGAGCATCTGCCATAAAGGTGATGCCACCCATCCACAGGGTGGCAACAAACATGGGCATCACCCCCAACCCTGTAAAAACACAGAGCACCTCTGAGTGGGAATTGAATTGTTGCATCAGAACTGGAAATACATCACTGACAGGAGTTTGAGAATAAACACAAAGGAGGAGCAAAGGTGTGAAAGGAGGAGGGCTTTACAAGGTTGCAAAGCACTGATGATCATGAAGGAAAAATATTGATGATTTTACTGCCCACTGTTTACACTGATATTGATGTCACCCACTCCAGTGAAATGTACTTCTTCACAGCTGATCGCAGCTTCAGTTTCCTCCTGAAAACCAGTGAGAAAATTGCCACTATGCCAGCTATAACAGCACCAACACATGCGCAGGGACATACTGGCACACCTGAGGTTGTTGCCACTGAACATTGGCATCACTACACCACACGTGTGCAGGTGGCTTTTGACAGCCATCATGAATGCTGGCCTGTGTAGGAGGACACATGTTCCATTAATCAAAAACTTCAATGACTGAATGCTTTCCCTTTAACCCTTGGGAAAATCATTCAAGACAGACTGTAAAGATAAGCCCAGCAATCAGTCAGTTTAACTGCATGGAGGGGAAACTCAAGAAGCAATTTTTCAGGATAGAATTAACAGTCACGTGGAAAAATGTGGGTTGATTCAGGAAAGCCAGCATGGATTTGCAAAGGGAGTATCGTGTCTTGCTGGAGTTCTTTGCAGAGATGGTTATTAAGGGCAATTTTGTTCATGTGGTATATGTGGACTTCAAACAGGCATTTGACGTACTGCCATGTAATAGAATTGAGAGAAAAGCTATCATTAGTGGAATAAAAGAAACATCAGCAACATTGATATCAAAGTGACTGTGGGATAAGAGAGTGATGGTGAGTGGGTACTTTTGGGCAGGAGGATGTTTTGTAATGCAATTCTCCAAGGATCAGTGTTGAGACCCCTCCTTTTCCTGATATGTGATCTGGATTGTAGTGTGCAGGGATCACTTTCAAAGTTTGCAGACAATATAAATCTTGTGAGCATTTTAAACAGTAAGGATATAAAAGCCATTGATAGGTTAGTGGAGTGGGCAGATAGATGGCAGATGAAGTTCAATATGAAGAAATGTGCAGTGATACATTTTGGTACGAAAGACATAGGCTGCCTAGAAATGTATTGGAGGTAGAGTTTGAGTTTGATTTTTAGTTGTCACATGTAGCAAGATACAGTGAAAAGTAATATTTTACATGTTATACAGGCAGATTTTACCATACAAAGTACATCAGGGTAGCAGAACACAGTGCAGAATACAATGTTACAGCTGCAGAGAAGGTACAGAGAGAGGTCAGAATAAATATGAGGTCCATTCAAAAGTCTGATAACAGCAGGGAAGAAGCTGTTCTTGAATCTGTTTGTAAGTGTATTCAAACTTGTATATCTTCTGTCTGATGGAACAGGTTGGAAGAGAATATAACCAGGTGAGAGTGGTCTTTGACCATGTTGATTGCTTTCCCGAGGCAGTGGGCAGTACAGACAGAGTCAATGGAGATGGAGGTAGGTTTAATTGAGGTATTCAGAAGGGTATCAAATGATTATTTAAATAGAACCAATCTTCATTGAGAGAAGGCAGATATTTGGCACTGTCAACATGCTCAGGCAGGCTGGTGCAGACATGATAAGATGAATGGCCTCCTGCAGTGTAACAATTCTGTGACAGTGACTGAGTCTGTGCTGACAATCGAACGATTCTTAAGTCTGAGTCTTAAGTTTCAGCAATCAGTTTGCACTGGATGAACATGTCCACTGTCAAACCTCCAAACAGGGTGTGGAGAAACCAATCAGGGAATTAGCTCTTTCTTGCTAAAACATCAAAGATGTACAATCATAAAGTCATGACTTAACATTTTTCTCATCAGACTTTATCTTCATAAAGCTTCATAAACATAAAGTATATGCATATTATTAAGCAGATAGATTTAATTGACAAATTTTACAATGGAGGTTGCAAAGACAGTTGGTCACAATATGTTATTACTGATGATTATTTTGAGGTTAGTATCAGTTGGTGAGATTAGGTTGCATTTCAACTCCTAAAAACAGGTATTGAATTGTTGACTTTAGGTGACTAGTCCAGTGGATTTATTAAAAGCCCAATTAGTTCACCCCATTTCCAATAGTTAGTAACTTTTAAAGCTTTTAACTTTAGCAATGATACAAAGGATCCTTGTGTTGAATGACTAATGGTGGTTATTGCACCTTCTTTTGAGATGGTGCTGTTAGCCTTCAGAACTGTTAGAGTGATGACCCCGCCTGTATAGGCGTGATACCCATTCCTTCCTGGTACCTGTCCTCTTGAGCAGGTCTACTTTATGTTGTTGTTGTTATCTTTGTACTAGCTGTATCCAATCTCTTAATGTTTAGGATCAGAGAAAGTTCTCATTCATCTCTGTGGCAGATTTAATGTTAGGTTCTATTCAGCTTGCAATGGCTGTAATTTACTAAACTGCAGGTCTCTCTTCTCACCACCACAGCCAGGAGCAAGTTGAGATACCAGGATTAATTTTACTGGGTGAAGAAGTGCTAATTTAAAATCTTTTAAATTTTGCAAATATGTTCTGAGAGACTAAAGTTAAAAAAAAATCTATCTCCTTTGTTTGAGAAATCAGTCAAGATAGATTATCTATTCAAAGTTATCCCTAAGAGTTAGCAAACTCTTTTTTTAACATGAATTTTTTTTTTTGCCCATTGGAGTGGTTGAGGTTTAACCGTAGCAGTTCACAGCAGAAATTTAGATAATTATTTGTAGAAAAAGCAGATGCAAGCCTTTAGGGAGAGAACGAAATGACATAGACATTTTGAGTTGAGCTAGCAAGGAATTGACATTGAATGGGCCGAATGACCACATTCTGTGCTGTAAACTTCTGTTCTTCCATCGTTGATGGTTCACTTTGTTTTTCCAAGAGAATCAGACCTGACATTATTCATGATCCTCTTTTTTGGGTTTTTTTAAAATGCTAATATGGTCGTGCATACAAAGATACAGAGAGCATTATATTACAACATTTAATCTAAGACTTTAATTTTAAACTTAATCATTTTAAATTTCCTACTTAACTATTTGTGTATCAAACACCACCTCATTCATTCTTGGTTATGTTAAAGCCTCTTCAATATAATTATTAACCAGCCTGACTGGCACATATTATTCTAAGAATTTTCTCCTACAAGCCACTTCAAGTAGCTACATGAGAAGTCAAACTGAGCTCAATCAGAGTTTCGCTTAAAAAGACCTTCAATGTCATCGCCGCAACCCACATTGCAGGAATAGATTGAAAGTGGCATACAGATGCATCCAATCATGCAATCACATTCGTGACACCCACCCCCATCATTTTAAGGTAAAGCTTTTTCAAAGTCTCAAGTCTGACTGGTGCAAATGTA